CTGCCTTTCCAATGAAGATAAATAAATCTTAAAAAAAAATTACATGATACAGCTTTGTAGAGTGGTTCCCCCACTCTTCCTCCAATTCCTCCATTCCCATTTCTCCCATCATCTCACCATTTCTGTCCAAATTATCTCAGTAGTTTAATCACTTGGTAATAGTTACAGGCTTAACTTCCTGCTATTTAAATGTATCATTGTATGGTAGACATTTAAAAAATGAAAAATTACTGACATAATGTAAAGGTATATTTAAATGTTTCATTGGGAGACCCAGTTTATTTCAGTAATAGGCACATATTGCAATTTATCTTTACTTCCTGTTATGCTAGTCTGCATTATGTAGTTCACTTGTGAGAATATATATATACTTGATTGCCTATGCATTTATTTTGTACTTTTCATAAAAACTATATTATATTACAGAGAACATAGGAATTGGCTTATTTCACTAAGCATGATGATCTCCATTTGGGGCCATTTCGTTTGCAAATATTAAGATTCCATTCTTTTTCGTGGCTGTGTGGTATTCCTTGGGGGTAGATTTACCAGTTTATTTATCCACTTTCCTTTTAACAGGGATCGGGGTTGTTTCCATGTCTTCACTATCGTGGATTGTGCTGCTAGAAATAAAGGGTGATAGATTGCTTTCTCTTATGCATATTTCTTTTGGATGTATTTCTAAAAGTGGGATAGCTGGATCACGCTGTAGATCAATTCTTAGTTATGTAAGGACTCTCCATACTGACTTCCATAGTGGCTGCACTAGTCCAGACTGCCACCAACAATGAATTAAAACCCCTTTTCATCACATTCTTACCAGTAGTTGTTGTGTGTTAGTTTTGTATATAGGTCATTCTCGTTAGAATTATGTGGCATCTCAATGTGGTTTTTATTTGTGCTTCCCTCAAAGCAAGGGAGCCTGATCATTTTTTCATATGTCTGTTTTCAGTTTGAATTTATTTGTTTAAGCATGTCTGTTGAAGTTCTTCATCCATTTCTGAACAGGGTTGTTTGTTTTGATGTTAAGTTTCTGAAGCTCTCGCTAGATCTTGGATATTAGTTTCCCATCTGTTGTTTAGTGTGCAAATGTTTTATCCAATTCTATTGATTACCTGTTTGCTTTGTTGGCCATTTCCTTTGTTGTACAGAAGCTTCTTAGTTTGATGTAGTCCCCATTTGTTTATTATAGCTTTAACTGCCTGTGCCTTTGGCATCTTTTCTAAGAAGTGTGTGCAAAGCTGCTATCTACACTCATTGTTAGCTACATATCAGATTCTCTTGCTTGTTTTTAGATCCTTTGCACATGTTTACCTACTTTCTATCTCTTTACCACATGGTGTTTCTTCAGGTAGCAGCTTAGTGACCCAGCATGGTAGCCTAGTGGCTAATTTATCACCTGCATGCACCAGGATCCCAAAAGGGGGCCTGTTCATGTCCCAGCTGCTCCACTTCCCATACATCTTCCTCCTTGTGCTCTTGGAATGCAGTCAAAGACAGCCCAAAGCCTTGGGACCCTGCACCCATGTGGGAGGCTCAGAGAAAGCTCCTTGCTCCTGCCTTCAGATAGGCTCAGCTCCAGCTGTTGCAGCCACTTGGAGAATGAACCAACAGATGAAAGGTGTTTCTCTGCCTCTGCCTTCTATAAAACTATCTTACCAATAAAAATAAATCTTTAAAAGTAGCAGCTTAAATTTTTCTTCCTTTTAGAAGCATTCCCAATATGCTCCTGGCTTCCCTCATGTAAGACTAAATGTTTTCCCTATTGTTCTCCTTAAATTTTTGCTTAATGTAGCATTAGTATTTATTTAATTATGCTAACATTAATACTTTCTGTAAAACCTATGAATTGCACCAAGGCAAAAAATTTGGGTCACTATTGTGGCCCCATTGCTTAATACTTTTTCACCTAATCTAACTATCTGAAAGCATTTGTTGAATGAATTACTAAATTCTAATGAGCATACTTCATATGTTTTGAGGGAGATTCTTGAAGATTGATTGATTAATTTGACAGTTACAGAGAGGGAAACATAGAGATTTCCCATCTGCTTGTTCTCTACCAAAATGGCCACAAAGGACAGAGCTGGGCAAAGCCGAGTTTCGGAAGCTTCACCCAGGCTTTAGCAGGAATGCTAGATCCAAAGCAATAGAGCCATTCTTCATTGTATCCCTAGACATATATAGGGGAACTAGATTGGAATTCAAACATCAGTACTGAAGTCAGCTCACAGGTGTTAGCTGACTGACACAATGCCAGCCCCCAAAAAATATTTTTAAATAACAAGATAAGTTGAATTATTTTAAAATTAGTCTATATTTAACCTTACACTTTCATGTTCATTTTTTATTTTTGTTTGCTTCCTCTGGTAGATCTCTATTAAGTCGGCTTATTTGTAAAGGCAGTTCCATCTGTTATTCAGGCTTGTGCATTAGCCAGGTTTACCTGCATTTAAAAATGCATTCTGGGGGCTTATATTGTGGCATACTGGATAAAGCTGCCACCTGTAATTGCACATTGCAATTGGGTGCCTGTTCATATCCTGACTATTCCACTTCCTTTGTAGCTCCCGCTAATGGCCTAGGGAAAGCACTGGAAGATGGTCCACATGCTTGGCACTGCCACCCGTGTGAGAAATCCATGTGAAGCTTCTTGCCTCTGGCTTTAGCCATAACACCCTGGTTTTTGCATCCATCTGGGGAGTGAACAGCAAGCTTGAAGATCTATTTCTGACCTTGACTTTTAACATAAGTAACACAGTCTCTTAAAATGTGTGTGTGTGTGTGTGTGTAATGCTATCTTTCAAATTAATTCATCATTTTTTTAAAAAAAGAATACAACATATTCTTCTTAAAAAAACTTCTCTATTGTACTATTTAATTTTGAGCATTCTTGATTTCTGAGTCTTATTTGTTGTATTAAAGAAGCTAAAAACTTGTGCTGGCATGGTGGCATAACAAGCTAATCTTCCACCTGTGGTGCCAGATTCCATAGGGACTCTAGTTCTTGTCCCGCTGCTTCACTTCCAATCTAACTCCCTGCTTGTGGCCTGAGAAATTAGTGGAGAATGATCTAAATCCTTGGGACCCTGCATGCACATGGGAGTCCCAGAGGAAACTTCTGGCTCCTGGCTTCAGATTGATTCAGCTCCAGCCATTGCTAACATTAAGGAGTGAATCAGCAGGTGGAGAACCTCTCTCTCCGTAGAAGTATGCCTTTCAAGTAAAAATGGATGTTTTAAAAACATGAAGCTAAAAATCTTTCAATGGAGATAAATAGAAGTCATCCCTGAATTTGTTCTTACAACTAAACCCTATAAATAAAATTTTTTAAAAGGGGGGGGCAGTCTTGGTATGCAAGTAAAGCTGCCACTTGCGATGCTATTGTCACGTTAGAGTTCCAGTGTGTGTGTTGGCTGCTTCATTTCCCATGTAACTCGCTGTTAATGTACCTAGGAAAAGCAGTAACTGCTGGCCCACATATTGGTCCTCTGCATTCTTGTGGGAGAACCAAGGTCACAAGTGCTGGGAATGTTCCTGATGCAGAGACCACACGTTGGAAAATTACTTCAGACTGCAACTTGTCTCCACTGCTAATTCTTATCTTATTTTAGTGTCCCTTATACGTACAGTATACTCTCACAAGCACTCTATGAGGACAACAGGCTCACCAATGCAAGCATATCTTGATTAGTAGGGATAAAGTCATGGAGATTATACTTAGAAGAGGGAAGTACAGAACCATTAGGTAGGGTAAACTTATGAAAATCCCAAAGCAGGTATTAAGTTCTCTGCATATAAAATTATTTTTAAGTGCATTTTTCTCTCCACAGAAATGTAGAAAGCATACTATGCCATCATTGTTCTGGGAATGTTTCTAATTCTTACAAAGAAAGATGTTATAAACGTCCTGAGCAGTGAACAATATATTCTATGTGGCAGTACATGTTGTTACATAAATTCTAGGTTTATCCATAAATTTCTGTAGTTTACGTATGAAGCTCAGGATCTTAATATTAATCCCTACAAATGAATGACATTTGGGATAGGCTCTATGGCACACAGGAAGCTAAGGTGCTGCAGTCATGACTATATCAGGTATCTGAGCACGAGTATAGGTGTGAGCTCCTTTGACCCTTCTGTCCAGCTTCCTTCTAGTGCATAACATCGTTAATAGATCCTGGAAAACCTCTTTGTTTTCAAATAAGGAAAATGAGATGGTAATATTGAATGGTCAGGTCAACGAATGACAGTATAAATCTAATTTTCCCATGGGGAAAAAAAATAGTACATTGACTAAAGACTCCAATCTTCCAGTGCTTTTCCACTCTTCTTTTTCTTGTTAATTTTATTTATATAAAGTGAAAAAAATTCCATCATTGCAGTACATATTTTCAGTAGCTTAATGGTACTAATACACTTATTTTTCTTTCTTAAATAGTTGGTTCAGGTGTTGCCTGGAAATTGATAATGACTCCCAAAAGGCATTTCTATTAAATCTTAATCTGTGGTTATCATTGATTCAGCCCTCTAGCCTCTTTTCTACTGCAACATACTTATATATATATTAAAAAAAAAAACATCATTTTGCTTTAAAACTTCCAGACTCCCTGACAAAGAATAGCTCAATCGAAGTCTCACTAGGCATTTCTATGAACTATCTTACTGAAATCTGGTAACTATATGAGATATGAGGAAACTGAAGCTGTGCATAAAAGGAAGTTTCTTACTGAATAAATTGCTTTAAAGAATCTAACTTGTTCTGATTTCATTTTCTTTTTCTATTTTTCAAATGCAAAATTATTAATCCTAAGCTAATATTTAAGCACATTAGCCAGAATACCCAATTTCTTTAGCAACTGATAAATTTCTTGCTATAAGAATGCTACTGCTGAAAGTTGTACAGTTGTAAAACAAATGATTGTCCTTTGTTGTTGAATGTTATTTAAATGGAACATGCATCGCAGTTTGGTACTCATCTACTTTTCCTTTTCCTTCAGACCTGTATGTGGAATTAGAGGGAAAACTCTCATCATTAACCTACCTGGTAGCAAGAAAGGATCTCAGGTAAGAGGCTTTTACGTTTGTATGATTTAATGTAAAGACGTGTGGTTAAGCATGAGAGTTAATTCTCTAAAAACCTGAAGCCCACCAAATCCAAAATTGGGAATGTCCAAAATCACTCTTGGTTTCACGAGTTCACTAGATGGACTTAGTTCTCTGAAATTATTATACTCAGAGTTATAGTTTATTATGGGGAGGGATATATAAGTTAAAATCAAGAGAAAATAAAAATAAGACAGAGTCTAGGAAATATGCCAAATATTACAAATTGTGATATTACCTCCTTGTGGAGTCATCAATGCATTGCTCTCTCCTGCTGTCAGTGTGTAATAACATATGGAACAAGATGTTTTTGAGCTCACCACACACTGTCTTTAAGGCTGACCTTTCATCTTTAGCCCTTGCCATGGCAGATCTAATAGTTTAATATCCAGCTGTAGAGGTCAAACCAATACCAATACCAAACTGCAAAATTCCCCTCGTTGTAGCATCCTGGTAACTAAAGCCTCCGACCAAGGACATCCCTATGACATATAACATTCCAAGGACTTGCAGATCACCTTCCAGCAGCTAAAGTCAAAGATCTCATCCTCTTCAGGAAATCCTAATTCCTCACTGCAGACACCTTTGGTCCAGAATTTCTTACAAGGAAACAATCATGTTTTCTGGGCGGCTATGCTCTCTATAGAATTTGTAAGGCAACAAAAGTATCAGTATATACAAGCTTAAGATTTGGAGCAGCCAAATCCAGTCCATACTGGACTACTGATAAATTTAGGGAAACAGGTAAACCTTTAAACCTGTCACGTATGTTTTTAAATTTTTATACTAATTTCCCACTTTGATATAGAACTACTTGTGTTATAACACATTTTTACAGACCTGTCTCTGAAAATTTCTTGATGCTTAACTCAGTCTAGTTCTTCTGCAGAACTACCAATTCCATTGATAATGCATTCTGAAGAGATTTTAACTCAATTTCACAAGTGTTTGAACATCAATATCAGTAAAACAATATTAAATAAATACTAGTGTTATATCACAGTATGATGGTAGATACAACCTGAAAAAAAACTCAAAATATGCTTTTATATTACTAGATTCCTATGCAAATATTAATAGCCCATGCATAATCAGGCCAGACCCATGCCATTCTGGCTTGCAGCCTTGCAACACCCCAAAAAGCCTGTGTGCTCTCAGAACCATATAACTTCACTCTTAAACATCTGTTAGAGTGAAGAAATAGACCATCTCTTGCTTTGTGCCTCTTTTAAGATACCAGTGTTGATAAGTTTTCCTTCCTTGAATAATTATTTTATTCATTTCTTTACCTCATCTGCCATTGCTCCTTCTCCCCATTTATACTCATGCTTTTCTGTTCAATTGAATGGCATGTTTTAATTTTCCACGGCAGTGGTCTAGCTTTCCATCAATTGCAATAATTGGGCAGCGCCTCCTATTCAACCTGTTCATGTTCATACAAGATAGACCTACACAGACAAAGAACTAATATAACCCAATTAACAGTTTAAACTTAGTGTCAAACATAATTTGATTATTTCTGTTGAAGGCAAAATCAGTCACTTATGAATTCAGGTATAAATTTTAAGGATACAGATACTTTGGAATTACTCTAGCTCTGGCAGCCACAATTATAGCTATTGTTGTGGGACTACTACATCTTTTTTCCAAAAACAAAATAGAAATAACATGGAACAAACAGCAAAAGTGCAGTTTTATTAGCATCTTTATACAGCCTTCTCTCGGAGAAATGAAAAACAATCTGTCTAGTGGCATTTTGCATTTTGCATAGTGCCTTCTTTCCATGTTAGATGCATTCACACACATACTAAGATATATGAGCCAAATCTTCATTCTTTTTTTTCTATCCACTTTTGACATCAGATGTTACCATTGACTCATCTTGTTCTGTCTCGTATCCTTGAGATGTATATGTGACTCGACAGTTTGAACTGATGCTTGTCTTCTATTCTCGTTCCTTTATAACACTCTGACCATTTACATCTAACATCAGCTAAGAGAAACCCAAAGCAGTGTAAGTTTCTATTTTTTGTAGGGCCCATTTGTACCTTCCAAGAGGTCTTGGCATCAGTCTAATTAGTTATCTTTAGGGACTTCATCTTTTAGAACTTGGCAGCAAAACCCTCTGTAGGCTTTTTTCCAATTATTGACAGACATAACAGTTCTTTAAATCATTTTGTACCCCAGAGTGTATAAGAGCAATAAAAATTCAGCCCATCTTTATGTTGTCCCAGCCCCCACCCCAAGCATACATTTTTCTCACAAACCCAGTGACCATGTTAAGCAATGACACTCAACTGTCTACTCCTTAATTCTGCTCAAAATTCTGAAAGTGAGTTGTCTTGAATGACAGTGACATATCTTACAAAATGTAACCCTCTTAATTTCCCAAAATTATTTTCACAGGGACCCATAAAGGTATCATTTTAATATAAAAGTAGCAGCTCCTCTTAGTCAACAGAAACCACTTAAGATAGCTACGAATCAAGCAGCTTCATGAGTTCAACCTTAATGAAATGAGCCTTCCTGCTTCAAAGCACCTGCTTGCATTGTCTTGGTAGCATGATCCTGTACGGCACCATTTCTGGCTTTTCTAGGAAATTCTTATGGGCACTTCCCTCTCCTCTTTAGGGTATTTCTGGCATTACCTAGGATATTACAGTTGTTGAAGATTTATATATCCGGCAGGCATAGTTGCAGTTTCCACTCAATGTGATAATTAAATTAAAGTATAATAATTCTCTCTCAAATAGAAATTTTCTAACCCCAAATCCCACAGTCTCTGAAGGAGTCATTCATAAACCACAGTTCTTGCTATAAGCCCCAGTCATAAACAGGAATTTAGCAAGCTCAATGAGTTCGAGCAATCTCATAAGTTCCTCTTAACATATCCAATCAACGTTAGTGAAGAGGCCATTTATTTGCTTTCTGTTCCATCGTGTTAGGTAGACTGTAGTGAAAGATAGTACCCATTCCCATAATGCATTCAAATAAAAGGAACTCACCCCCTTTACATAAAAATTGCTCTCCAGACATTATAATTTTCATCCAAACTACCCCTTAACATTATAGTTGGCTCCTAATTAATTGGACTTCATTGGGACTTCTGTGGGCTTTTTAAGTTTAATAAAACTTTCTTCTCAGGACTGATGCAGTAGCCTAGCAACTAAAATCCTTGGCTTGGATGCACCAGAATCCCATATGGGCTCCGATTTGTGCCCCAGAAGCCCCACTTCCCTTCCAGCTCCTGCTTGTGGACTGGGAAAGCAGTCAAGGATGGCCCAAAGCCTTGGGCCCTGGCAGTGAGAGACCAGAAAGAGGCTCCTGGTTTGGATTGGCTTAGCTCCAGCTGTTGTGGCCACTTGGGGATTGGATGAGCAGACAGAAGATCTTCTCCATCTCCTCCTGTGTATCTGACTTTCCAACAAATAAATACAGACCCAAAATCACAAATCACGTTGATTGCCACCATAGTGTGTATCTAGGAAAGAGCTTGATCTTATCTTCAGGGTTTTTTTTTCCTTCCTCTGTGCACAGGAATGCTTTCAGTTCATACTGCCAGCTCTACCTCACGCCATCGACCTTTTACGTGATGCCATTGTGAAAGTAAAGGAGGTGCATGATGAACTTGAAGATTTACCTTCACCACCACCTCCTCTTTCCCCTCCTCCCACAACCAGCCCTCATAAACAGACAGAAGACAAAGGGGTTCAATGTGAGGAAGAGGAAGAAGAGAAGAAAGATAGTGGTGTTGCTTCAACAGAAGATAGTTCGTCGTCACATATCACTGCAGCAGCCATTGCTGCCAAGGTAAGTGAGCTGCAGGAGACTCGGAGACCCAAAGGACTCACAGACGAGTGCACTGATTTTACCCTTCTTTCGGCCATGTGTCTCACTAAGTGTTATTCCTTGTCAGTGAATCCTAAAGAATTCAGAATGCTCTGGGATATTTGCTTGAAGACACTGAAGTATATTCCGAGCTCTGAGGCATTACATTTGATGCTGTTACATATTCAAGTAATAGTTGCCAAGATGAACAATGTAACATTTGAGAACACTTTGAAAATGTCGCTTTTGTGGACATATTAAATTATAATATATATTCACAACACAAACTTTACAAATTCTTAAAGGAGCAGTAAACTGGAGATTGAAGATGTTAGATGACTGAAGAAGGGTTGGAATATATGAGTGAAAACATTTAAAAGACAAGGCTTTTAGTTTTAAGCAATTGTGAATTAACCTTAAACAATGACTGAAATATTTCTTGATACATATCACCCCATTGGCATGGGAAGGAAATGGATATGTTTGCGTAGTAAATATTATTAAGACAAAGCTAAGAAAGGTATTGCAAATTATCTTTGAGCAGTTTTGGAGGTAAATATGGTACTTGAATAATATTAGTCTTCTTAAAATCACAGAACATGATTTACATAGTTATTCACAACTAGTGATATCCACCTAATATCCTTTAATACTTTTAGAAAAAAATATTTTGCTTCTAGGAATGGCGATTGCTCATTAATTGAAAATGCACAGATTGGAAATTTAAGTTGCTGCCTGAAGTGATTTAGTTTGATTTTAATTAGGAGGTTGGTGGTTTTTTTTTTTTTTTTTTTTTTTTGGTAACATACAGATTAGGATCATAGGAAAACCAAAAGAAATAGCCATGTAGGCAATCAGTAGGTAATTCTTTCATTGAAGACTTTTTTGTTGTTATTGTTTCCAAATCCAGCTATCTATTAAGTTCTTACTTGTGGCTAGTAATATTTATGTTGTTTATGTTTTTTGTTTGATTGAATGTATTGGTGAATAATAGGTGTGTTTTTAAGCCATTATACATTCTTTCTCTTTTACTCTTAATTGAAAGAGATAAAAGTATTCTCAATTTCAAATGAATGAAAAAAAAGCTTAAAGTATTTGAAATTTAAGCTGATTTTGTCATTTACTTTGGCAAATTTGGGCATATCATTGTTCTGTTTGTTCATTTTCACATTTCCTGCTTTTCAGTCATTGTGTTTGTGTAGGTTTCTGTTTTTCTGTCATGATATTCATAGTTGTTATGTGTTGTGCATTAGAAGCATCCATTCTACACCAGTCCTGCTGTTATCATGGCATGTGGTGAGCAGCCCATCCCTGGTCTCCTCAGTTATTCCCATCATGCAACAGGCAGTGCAGATGAACCGGTAAGACAAGAGGCTTTTATGTTCATGACTTTGCAAACATATCCTACTTCCTTTCTGTGGAGCTAGGCTGTAAACATATCACCAAAGATGTGCTGTTTTGTTGTGATGGATTTTCAGCAGTACTGCCTTGTGAACGTGTCCATGACATATTCCATCAGAGAATTTAATAGAATTGGTCCTGTACCTGAAGTATTTTGCTATGATTAAGATTCCATAGTGTAAGCGCCTAGCATATGTGGTTTATTTACTATATACTATAGCATATGACATATTTATTATGTACTATGGTATATGAGCTTTCATCATAGGACTCTAAGAAATCCTTCTTAAAAATAACTTTTTGTAAAAGCTTTATCATAAATTTAAATAGCTTTAAATAAATTGCCTTATTTAAAAGATAACTCCATAGGAGAATTGCTTTGACTCCTAAAATCTAGAAGAATTGGTAAGTTGAATATTCTAATGAACTTTTTCATGATTTTGTATCTCATGTTCTTTCGCTGTTTTCTTCATTACAACCATTTAGTAGAATTGAATATTCATATAATTCTGTGAGTCATAATACTTAGATACAAACTATTAAAGATACACATTCCCTGAATGGCTGAATGAAATTTGGCAAAAGAGTAAAAAAAACTGAATTGCTAATTGTAAATTATTAGTCAGTGTTAAATTTATACCATGGCTGTAAAGAATTCCGTCTTAAACTCTAACATGATATAAAATGACAGAGGGGAAATAGAAAAACAAATATACAGATAAATTTGCCTTTGAACACGTATAACTTACCATCAGTAGTCTTTTGGGAGAACAGTACCAAATGAAGACTAGATTCCTGTATTTACCAAGCCTTACGTAGCTGTAAATAAATGGATTGATCAGAGGCTAAGTGGGACATTTAAATTTTGGATAGTAAAGATACTAGTCAATTTTAGTTGCTGATTAGTATGTAAATATTTATTACTGATAACTAGAGAACAGCTAAGCTACCAAACCAGTTCAAAGAAGAATTATGAGGGCACAGACATTCTGCAATAGAATTATTTCTTAAATTGATAAAAATCTATATTCATAGAGCAATAATCATTTGCACTTTTTCAAGACAAAATTTACTTGTATTTCTATGGATAAGCTTTTTTTCCCATGATTATTACCAGTTTTTGAAAACTGATAGATTTGTAAAATAGTGAAAAATAATGAAAGTACAAGTAAGCCAAACGAGTATATAGTGAACACATTCTTGATGATCGCTGAGGTAATTATCACAAAAAAGACTACTTATTAAATTTGTCTTGAATTTCTACCCAGTTACAACAGGAAAATTATCCTTGTAACCTTTCTGAAATTGTGTTGCATATACTAATGATTCAAAATGAATTCTGTGTGGACATTTTAACAGGGACTAGCAGACTCCTCTTTTAACGAGCATTGTTTTTGCCATCCCAAAGCTAGCATAGTAAATCCAAGAAAATTCATCATATTCTAACTGGTAGAAGGTAGACACAGAACAGAGAGACACACTAGGAGTTCACAGCCAAAATTGAATTTATTAGCGGAATAAATTCAGACAGTGGCCCACCGCTGGCGCATAGATGAGTGAACACGTGGCAGCATCCCAGTGTTTCGAATGCAGTGCAGGAATCCCTGGCAATGTTCCTGTTTACTGTCTGGGAGTTCTGATTGGTACAGAACCAGAACCACTGAGGCTTGTGTCCCTGCTCCGTCATAGGCTATGTCAGTTTGAGTCCCCACTGTTCAACGTCTCATTCCACTCGCTACTGATGAGCTCTGGGAAAGCACTGAATAGTGTCTCAAATTAGACGGGCCCCTACCACCAACATGAGGCCTGGATGGAGCTCCAGGCCTGATTGAGCGTCAGCCATTTCAGTAATTTGGGAAATGAACTAGAGGATAGAGGATTTCTCAATCTTTCTTTCTCTCCTAACCTCCTGTCTTCTCAATCTTTTCTTCTTTTTCTGTCACTTTGGCTTTTAGACAAATAAATAATCAAACATGGGGAAGGAAGTTCTGACTTTTCCTATAGCTCTGCCTTTCATATAAATAAACCTTTTTAAAAATCAAAATTAATTATGTAAATATATAACTGTTATTCTCACAGGCATAAATTGCAATTTAAGGAATAGGAATCTAGGAATATCTATGAAATATGCTTCCATGGAAAAATGTGATGTATCATTCATTTCTAAGACTAGATGTTCATTACCTAGTTTCCAAGGCTAATATAAATAAAGATAATATTTAGCAATACCTATAATATATAATAAGGATGTGTTCATGAAATAGGCATATTATCAGCAGGTACTCACTTCGTGGAGTAAGGCAACATACTGATTATAGTAATGATGATAGTAATACCATGTTTAAAATGCTATAGCTAATTAACAGTGACTGCTAAGACTCTAGGAAATTGATACTAAAATTCAATATTGACAAGATTATGCCTTTTTTATTTTCCTGAAAGAAAAATTTATACAGGAAATCATACTGTAGTAATAACTGGTTTTTATCATTAAGAGCAACAAAAATTGGTACCAGCATGGTAGCCTAGTGGCTAAAGTTCTTGCCATGCATGTGCCAGGTCCCATATGGGTTCCAGCTTGTGTCCTACTGGCCCCACTTCCCATCCAGCTCCCTGTTTGTGACTAGGGAAAACAGTGGAGGATGGCCTAAAGCCTTGGGACCCTAAACCCGCTCCTGGCTTTGGATCAGCTGAGCTCCGGCCATTGCAGCCACTTGGGGAGTGAATCAGTGGACAAAGGGTATTCCTCTTTATATCTCCTCCTCTCTGTATTGTCTGGTTTCCAATAAGAAACAAGTAAATCTTTTTTTAAAAAAGAGCTTCAAAAATTTTGAAATTCCTAAAGTACATATATATATACCAATTGAAAAAATGTGCATGAATTTGAGTTGACCAAAAAATGACCTCACAGTCATATCTCATATGTTGAACAAAATCAGGAAGAATTTAAACTAAATCAGGAAGAATGATTTTTTACAAATAGGAACCACAAATTCTCATAGATATTTGTATGATTTATTTTTTTTCTAAATTAAAATCCTCACATTTATTCTTATGAAACCCTTATATTGTATTCAGTCTGTTGGTATAGTAAAGAAATCTTTCATCAATTTGTAGCTGTTGTCTTGTGGATTCCCTGTCAATCCCGGCTTCCATCATCTGCAGTTATGTGAAGCATGCTTTTGTTGAAGTCACAAATTAGGCTGAGTTTTAGGGTGAGCTATTGTACATACTACTAGAAATCCTATTGATTATACTTGTTGAATTAGTCAACATACGCTTCTGTTCCCATCAAGACCCATGGACTCGATCTTGATTTTAAGGCTTCTATAAGTGACCTACCAAATAACATTACTGAATTTTAAGATGCACTAATTTGACACTTTTTTCCCTTCAGTAAAATATTTATAACATTTAATCGTAGCAACGAAAGGATTGTTATTAGATGTTATAGGATTTTGTGTGAGGGAGATTAAAAAATGTTCATGGCAATTTGTGCTATCTTATAATTCTGTTTTTCTGTGGACCTTTTTGAGTCCTCTCATATATTTTCTCAAAGAATCCATTTAGATGTTTGTAAA